TGCTGCTCGTGAGTCCCTGCCATCTAGTTTACCCTCCCCCCCCCCACCCCCATCCGTAGAGGCGCGGGGGATACGCTCGGCTGTGAGTTTAATCGGAAAAACACTATAGCTTACCTGCTTTGGAGCGCGAGTGGCCCCCCCCCCCCCCCCCCCCGCCCTGTAGCTCTTATTGTGTGTATTGTTGCGTTTCTCGAAATTGTCAACGGACAGTAATCCTAGTTTGTTTTGCCGCGATGTGTTCGTCGGAGGAAGTGCGCAATTTACATGTGATTGCGACCCTGTCAGGGTGTGTTTATGGCCGCCATAATATGTGGCCGTTATTCGGAGAATATCTGTATTTTTTTTTTTTTTACCTATATATGCGATCCGACTAGGCTAGTTGAAGTAGTTGCACCAATTAAAAACCATTGTTAACATTTAAGTTAAAGTACGTATAAAACGATACAATCGTTGCTGTGCACTTATTTATTCTTATCTTTATGTTTAATTAGTAATCGACTTGACAGCACTCAGGGAAATTCCCATAAGCGCGAAGTCCCAATGTTCAACAGCAAGCGAAGAAGAGTTGAGTTCCAATTATACCAGTAGTCATTCTTATCTTTAAAATAATATATTGTGTGTTGTTATTTACTGCCGGATAACAAAAGAAGGAATACTTGATATTTTGTATAAATTCTGCAGCTGGCAAGCAAGGAGATCGAGAACGCCACTTGAATTCCCCGCAGCTGTAACAAATGTCTTTCCTTTCTCTTCTCTGGGTCAGGGCTGCCAATGGATTTTGTACCCAAACCCAAGCTAAGCTGACCAAAAAACCCAAGCAACACAAAGTCAACGAACAAAACCAAGAACCAACGATTGATAACAAGTACAAATTACAAGGTTACGAAACGAAACATTTACCTACTTTTATACAAGGATATAAGAAAAAAATATATTTCAAAATCTGATCCCAGGACGTCAAATAAAAATCAATATCTTATGGGGAAAACCCACAAGTATTGGCAACCCTGCTCTCGGTCTGGGACTAGGTTGCCAGTTTGCATAGACACACTTTTATGTTCATTTTCAAACCAAAGGAATAACAATTAAAAACTTAGATTTTCTAGCGTAAGTTTTATTGCACGACTTGACATTTAAATACGTGGCAAACCAAAGGTCGATCGGTGCTTCAAACTAATAGAAACATATGACAGAAGCACGAACCACATGAATAAAACAGAATCCCGTTACAAAGAAACTAGCAGAATGAATGACTGAACAATATACACTATATAGTGAGTAAGCAAAACACTTATGGTAAGTCCACTGGTACTGAACGATTTTTGACAGTATTGTAACCAATAAAGTATTTTTTGGAGTCGATACGTCATCATGTGCCATGCCCAGCCCTGTAGGAGCTCCTGCTTCTACACAGATCTAGGTCCTTGCTTTTTGAAATGATATTCCCCTATGCCATCGCTCCAGGTCGTCAAGTATAGTCTCTCTTGGTCTGCCTCTGCCTCTTCTACCGTTGATTTTTCCATGCATGACGATGTTCTCCAATGCCTATCACATCATGGCATGATCAGAGAACTCTTTCACGTAGTTATTTATATGGTTGTCTAATTTCATTAGCCATTTACTGACGTTTGTTGTTAGTTCCTGAGTCTGTTCACGGTGTTCGCAGTTTGCGATGGCTAACAAGCGTGCCTAAGTAATAACTTTTTATAGCATCATCCTATTGTCTAAGATGTATCTGCCAGGAGGGAAAAACGGTTACCCAATCAGTCAAAAGTTATATCATTTTGCAGTGTAGTAGACAGAAATATGAACACATAGTGCATACATGTTTAGAACAATCAGAAATAAGTTAGCGATTTAACATTTGTGAACATAAAAATAAAAATAAAAATTGTGACATCAACCATCTAATTGTGTAAATTACGTTCAGTGATTGAGCAAATTGCAAGCAAACATGTCGCGGATTCCACTCCCAAAATATTTTAAATAAAATATAAAGAAACAAACTACAATGCATTGGGGATGATACGCAAATATCAATACATCAAAATAGTGGCGTCATACAGCGAGAGTTGTCTGTAATGTTGGCAGCTTTCCTTCTTTCTAGACGATAGTGTTATAGTGTTGACAGCTTTCCTTCTTTCTAGATGATAGTGTTATAGTGTTGGCAGCTTTCCTTCTTTCTAGACGATAGTGTTATAGTGTTGACAGCTTTCCTTCTTTCTAGACGATAGTGTTATAGTGTTGGCAGCTTTCCTTCTTTCTAGACGATAGTGTTATAGTGTTGGCAGCTTTCCTTCTTTCTAGATGATAGTGTTTTAGTGTTGACAGCTTTCCTTCTTTCTAGATGATAGTGTTTTGGTGTTGACAGCTTTCCTTCTTTCTAGACGATAGTGTTATAGTGTTGGCAGCTTTCCTTCTTTCTAGACGATAGTGTTATAGTGTTGACAGCTTTCCTTCTTTCTAGATGATAGTGTTATAGTGTTGGCAGCTTTCCTTCTTTCTAGACGATAGTGTTATAGTGTTGGCAGCTTTCCTTCTTTCTAGACGATAGTGTTATAGTGTTGACAGATTTCCTTCTTTCTAGACGATAGTGTTATAGTGTTGGCAGCTTTCCTTCTTTCTAGACGATAGTGTATTAGTGTTGACAGCTTTCCTTCTTTCTAGACGATAGTGTTATAGTGTTGACAGCTTTCCTTCTTTCTAGACGATAGTGTTATAGTGTTGGCAGCTTTCCTTCTTTCTAGACGATAGTGTTATAGTGTTGACAGCTTTCCTTCTTTCTAGACGATAGTGTTATAGTGTTGACAGCTTTCCTTCTTTCTAGACGATAGTGTTATAGTGTTGACAGCTTTCCTTCTTTCTAGACGATAGTGTTATAGTGTTGACAGCTTTCCTTCTTTCTAGACGATAGTGTTATAGTGTTGACAGCTTTCCTTCTTTCTAGACGATAGTGTTATAGTGTTAACAGCTTTCCTTCTTTCTAGACGATAGTGTTATAGTGTTGACAGCTTTCCTTCTTTCTAGACGATAGTGTTATAGTGTTGACAGCTTTCCTTCTTTCTAGACGATAGTGTTATAGTGTTGACAGCTTTCCTTCTTTCTAGACGATAGTGTTATAGTGTTGGCAGCTTTCCTTCTTTCTAGACGATAGTGTTATAGTGTTGGCAGCTTTCCTTTTTCTAGACGATAGTGATATAGTGTGTTATGCGGAAGCATGAGAATCACAGCCCATGGCGATGGCGACTTTTACCTGCAAGACCAGCCCAAAATGTCCTCCACAATTACTTAGAGCTTGGGATTTCAGGACCGCTGTTGCCATCACATGTATTAAGTGTGCTTCTTTTCAGATGCATAGCTCCCATCCTTTCTGCAATAATTGTTACTCTCTTGATTCCTGTTCCCTTTCGGAATTTTTCCGTTTCCTCTTAACACGGGCCATTTCGTTATGTTACCACGAATCTACCTCAGTACTTGTATCATTCATGTGCTGTTTGCACAATCTTTTTTTTTTTTTTTTGTAGTAGGGACATACCTCCCATCTTCTTCGCATCTGTAATTCATCAAAAAAGGATGTCCTTATGGAGTCTACCACCCCCGTGCACTCCCCCCTCATTCTCCAGGTGTGACCAAGCCACCTAAGCCTTCAGAGACTAAACTTCAAGAAAACTGCTATTTTATGACGTTGCCGTATGGCAGTAGCAGTATTGGCCAGTTGCTCTTGGTCACCTCTGTTTATTGTTGTCCCATCTGTTTAGCCGTCTGCCACATGCTGGGAGGTCTTAAACATGTTACTGAATTATGAGACCATCACGTTCTTCATGTGGCTAAAATAATTCACATGATTCACATTCTGAACAGACGCACTGTGTTCGTTTATTTTAACTTTCATTTTGTTTTTTTTTTCTTGCATTTTGACCGGAAGTGTACCTAGTATTCAAATTGAAACCATTAAACACATGAATGTTGACTGAAGTCACGGGATCTAACAATAGAACTAACTAACTAACGAGCTAACTAACTAACGAACGAACTAACTAGCTAACTAACTAATTAACTAACTAGCTAACTAGCAAACTAACTAACTAACTACATAACTAACTAGCTAACTGAGTAACTGACTAACTGACTGACTGACTGACTGACTGACTGAATGACTGACTGACTGACTGACTGAATGACTAACTAACTAACTAACTAAATTAATTAACTAGCTAACTAACTAACTAACTAACTAACTAACTGACTAACTAACTAACTAACTGACTGACTGATCGACTGACTGACTGACTAACAAACTAAATTAACTAACTAACTAGCTAGCTGGCTATCTAACTAAGTAGCTAACTAACTGACTAACTGACTTACTGACTAACTGACAAACTGACTAACTAACTAACTAACTAACTGACTAACTGACTGACTGACAAACTGAGTGACTGACTAACTGACTAACTAACTAGCTAACTGACTGATTGACTGACTGACTGACTGACTGACAAACTAACTATCTAACTAACTAACTAACTAACTTACTTACTAACTTATTACTAACTAAACTAACTAACATAAATATAACAAAGATACTCAAATAACAAGACCTACACTGAAGAGTTGTGTAATTCATAGTACCTAAAAAAAAAGTTTTTTAAATATTTAGAAACCATGAGTTGTTAACCCTTTGGCTCTTTACTATGGATATCGTTAGACTTGATTCCATGATAAATACCGTATATCTGGGAGAAATGTGGCTTTTCTGCTTACCCTAGGGCATGAACCCAGACCACAAGGAGTTAGGCACACTGTCGCTGCGCAGAGGGTTTTAACCAACAAAAAAAAAATCTGATGACTTGTGAGTTAGGATATTTCTAAAGTAAAAAAAAAAAAATCATAAATTTCATAATTCATTCACCAAGTTTGTATTTGTCACTGCAAAACAATTTAAAACATTATTAAAATCTTTAAACCCAGCAGAGAAAGCTAACTAACAAGGGCCGGTGTTACACAGAGGCAGAAAGCGTCCGTTGATCCCCACGTTTGAACTGTTCCCATCTCTCCAGCAGGGCAGGAATTGTGTAAAGCACAGGGTTTGCAGCGGAGTTGATGGGCAGAAGGAGAACCGTTGTCCAGGCATAAACCTCACTGTTGACCCCATGACCTCCAAGAGAGATCAGTCCCATGATTCCCACAGGAAACCAGAAGAGAAAATTAGACAGAACTATAAAAGACAGTTGTTTGGCTACTGTTATTTCTCTAGCTCGTCGTGAAGATGGCATGCTGGTTGCCGTCTGAGATATTCTGTTCTCTGATATGGCACGGAAAATCGCATATTGACCATACGCAATGAAGAAAAACAGGATCAGGTTAAAAATAGTAAAAACTGCCACACTGTACTGCCAGCCTCTAGCGTGTATATTTGTTAAGGGTAGGCCAAGACACATCGCGTTAGAAGAATATATGTCGAAGTTCAAAACAATAGGAAAAACGGAAAGTAGGAAACTGGCCACCCAAGACATCACAACTGCGACAGTTTTGTGAGAGCCCCTAAACTTTACTTGACCGAATGGAAACTTCATCACCAAAAATCTGTCGAGAGTGATCAGAAAAACAAAGAACGTCGATGCTTCACATGAGAGACAGGCCATAAAACCAGCCATCCTGCAGACAACACTGTTCCTCCAGCTCTTGTCATATAGAACGTAACTGTCACGGTAAAAATAATCAGCCCCAGCAATCAGAAACAGATAGACACCCATGATGAAGTCAGATATACCCAAGTTGGTCACAAACAGACCGTATCCTGTCTGGAGAACTGACCTATCCCAGATCACACGATAAACAATGACCGTCACGTTTCCTAGAACTGCGATAATTGCAACCATCCAGAGAAGAAATCGCTGAATATCAAGTCCTAGCAGATTAGAACATGAGGAAATGCCGTCTATATCTATAGGAGCAAAGCACGCACTAGGTGAAATTACTAATCCTTGAATCTGTGGACAGCAAATCTGGAAAAGATCAGTATACAACGCCTGGCTAATTGTTAGACCATGAAATAAATAGTCATCGAGATCTCCTGTGTGAAAACCTCTTAAGTCGAGGGTGTGTAGTGATGCTTTTGAACTGAAATATTGTCTAGTAAAATCTGAAATCAAAGTATGGCTCAAGTTGAGATGTTTTAGTCTGGGCACATATACAAACACTGAATCGATTAGGTAAGACAGACTTGTATAGGAAAAATCAAGTATTTCTAAAAAATTAAATCGCAGATTTCCCACTGACTTAAGCTGTCTATTGTAAGACATATTAAGATAATCTATACGTTTATAATAAAAGTTGTAATCATGTTTTGAAAATATTTCAAACATATTGTAGCTAATGTCTAATTTTTGAATAGAAAAGGGCGCATACTTTGCAAACCATCCTGCATTATGTGGAATATATAATTCACTAAGCTTGCAATTAGACATAATAAGCACCAGTACGCTATAAAATACTTCTTTGGGTTCAGTTACGAATTTGTTAAATGCAGAAATTTCTATTCCTGAGAGGTCCATGTATCTGGGCCGTGGATCTATACCAAACAAAGTGGCCATGTCTAAAGGAACTGATCTGTTATAATCTGTCAGTGACACTGTCCCTGAAATACACCGAAAACCGTTAGGACAAAATTCTCGGCAGCCAAGCTCATCATCCCCATACGGACAATCGTTATGTCCATCACAAACTAGGTCAGGATGAAGACACATGATGCTGTCCCAGCAAGCAAAACGTCCAGTACAAGGACCAGTGTAGAACAGTTGCTCGTCTTCTCCTGTAGGACAGTCAGTTCTTCCATCACGAAGATAATGATGAGGGATACAGTACGAGTTATAACATTTCACATATCCTTGACCACACTGGAAGTTCTCACAGTCTATAAGATGTGACATATCTCTGCATCCGACGATACCCCCGTATCTGTCTTTGATGTAATGACATTTTGGAGCCCATATAAAATTCCCAAAAGTATTCTTACAAGTGTTTGCTGGCTCCTGCTTTTCTAAGGCTAGATATCTTTGAAGACCTTTACAGTCTTTTAACCAGTCACCGAGCTGAGATTCATCAATACACTGGTCACGGTTACATGGTAATACACAACTATTGTTATGTAGCAGAGACATATTTGTATTAACATCTTCATCGCTCATCATTAAGTATGAGGAGCTAGTCGCGAAAATAAAACAGTCAAATTCTCCATCGTTCACCCACTGTAGAGGTAGACAAGAACCATCTTGACATCGTACACTTGTACATTCATTATCAAAGCAGTTTTCCTCGTCACTTCCGTCCCGACAGTCCTTGACATTGTCACACTTAGTCTCGTTGCTGTACAGCGTTTGTCCGGATCTGCAGTAAGTTCCATAATCTGAATATTCTATTGGATTCAAACAAAGAAGCTCGTCCTTTTTGTTGCTGCAGTGATCAAAGAAATCACAGACCATGTTATAGGAAATATATCTACGATCACCGGCGTCTTCTCCGCAGTCAAAGATAGGAAAGTCTTTTTCTGAGTTTATCAGAAAATTACGAAACTTGGGGTTGGGAACGTTTGCAGATATTGATACAACATTTTCAGCATAGATAACAAAATGTACTTTTTCTTTTGTAATGTTAGTATGTATTGTTGAAGCTCCTACACTGCTAATTAAATCAACCTCATTAATACTTCTAGGAAGAACAACTTCACAAAGTGCTGAGGAAGTTGTTACAGCATGACAATTAACATTAACCCAACCTTCACTTGTAGTGTTGTCTCTATCATTATCATGTGCCCAGTGCTCTGAAAACTTCCACACCACACAGTCATTGTTGATACATTTTTTACAAGGTTGACCAGGCAGCCAATGTTGGATTACTTGGGGACAAAAACTTGTTGGATTGGTCACCCACCGAAAACTTTTCGCATAGTTACTCAAGTCTCTACGCAGGCCGATGTGAAATTGGACAAAAGACATGTTATTTTCTTGAACTTTTAGCAAAATTTGCTTCTGAACAAAAATCATCTCTGCCGCAGTTTCGATTCCTGCTAAATAGCCATTGTAATAGCTGCTGCAGTTATACATTGCACTAGTCCATGATTGGTTGATACTGTCGTGGTCTATGTTATAACATGAGAGCAGATTGACGCCGTTTCTATGTTCAAAGAGAGCCCAACCCCTGTAGCACTTTTTACATATCGCCATCAATAGATATTGATCAAAGTTATTGAGATCCTTGTCTGGTAACACAAGAGCGTCGGTCATGTGTACAATTTCCTCTATAAGTTTGCTGCCAATTAGCACTGTAAAGATTTTTACGTCTACAGTTAGGTTTTGTACTATGGAAGGCACTCTTCTGATTTCTTCCTGTGTCATATTTTTACAGTCAAGAAAGACAATTCCAACATGAACTGCATTAAGTCTAACTCCGCTCATTTCAGCAAACAAACGTTTAACAACTGCTATTTTCTTCTCCAGGCGTGTCCTCAAATTTTCGACGGGCACCTCTAAAGTGCCTGTATCTTCCTACATGAATGGCATTCTTTCTGTATGAAATATATTAAAGCGCCAGACGCGAATATTTGTGGGTTCGTTGACATCGTTAAATTGGTCAACCACTGTGGCAACCGTCAGCTGTGAAGTACGTTCTGACAGCTCCCAATACAGGTATCTTGTCAAATAATGTTGCTGTACCCAAGTCTGATCGAGGTCATAATCCAAAAGCGACAACAAGTCCGTATCATCCCCGAGACAGTCTTTTAATGGAAATTGTCCCTCTGCACTTGCAGACGTCACTGTGAGAAAAAAAAGACAGAAACACTATACATGTGTGTGTATATATATATATATCAATATATATATATATATATATATATATATATATATATATATATATATATATAAAGAACCTTTCATTCTTTCTAGACGATACTGTTATATTGCCTTATGAGGAGGCATGAGAATCACAGCCATGGTGATAGCGAGTGTGACTAACAGGACCTTCCGTGTAAAGAAAAGTCTTCCAGAATGATAGCAATAAAGTCCCTCCTCTCCATAGCACAAAGCCTAGGCAGTATTATAGAGACCATATGTTGCCCATGCATAATGATCCCTCTCTCGACTTTCCTTGTTTACTCCAAAAAAAAAGGTAAAACCAGTACGTTTGGAACGAGGCGGGTTGCAGAAGCTGCCGGATCACAAGAGCTGTGCTTTATCTTCCGCCTGTCGGAGATTCCCGCCTAGACCACCTGTCAGCCAAGTCAAAGGGCCTAGTCTGCGATGCCATAACATAAAGTTTTCAGGTTGCATTTCCTCTACCTAGGATAAGGCTAGTGTCCTCCCCAGTGCGCTCCTCCGCCCGAAGCCGTTGGCACAATAAGGGATGTTGGGTTAGTATACGCCGCCAAACATTCGGCGTAACAGAAGACAGGTGGTACCGGCTACTGTTATACGGTAGCTCCGTCATATCTGGCTACGGTTAGTTGCGTATCTTTTACAGGACTAACCCCAGCAGCCCCTACATGTTGTGTGGTTTCTCTAAGCAAATTTACGCCCAGTAGTTTGATCTGAACAAGATCTGACCGATATATATATATCTGAGCTAGCAGGCAGCGAAAAACCTTTAAAAAGAAAACAGTAGAGAGGGAGACGAGAATTGAGATTTAGTTAGGACAATAATAAGTTCCCAGTTGGACTGCAAAAACAGGAGAGGTAAAGAGAAGACAAGGCTTCCTCTAGTGCAGGAACCATGACATATTACTCAAGGCTCAGGCGATGAATATGTGAATTACACAACCCAACCACCACACATAACTACATAGGCAGCGCATAGTAACTAACTGCTTGCATCAACAGTGAGCTGCCACTCTCATGTCGGGCTGTTTATGTTTTCTTCGATGTTCACAACTTGTATAAACTTCTTATATTTCTTCTTCTTTCTCAAACATGTACGCAGATCGTTTCGGTTATATTCAAGTTAAAAAGCGGCGGTTGTCCTCTTTGGTAATTGGGAAACATTCTCTGGCTCACATGTGTATATTTGCACACAAATAAATATAGTGACGATAATTTAGTGAATAGTTTTGGTTGTGCTTAGGAAGACGATGGACATCTTAGAAAGGTTAGTGGATAATGCTGTCTAAGAGAATGTTGTACTTATCCAGGAGTCCCAGAATTTGTGGATGAGACACGTTGAGGCTCGCCCCATGCGCAGTTACATTTCTGTTGGAGGGGGGGAGGGGAGGGGAGGGGTTAAAACTATGTAGTTATTAGAAAGCATTTGTATATATAGGCTTATAGTATTGTTGCGTGCTGATTTAGGAGAGTGTAATACTGTGGGAAGAGACAAAGTGATATGATAGTTATTTCCGGGCGTTTAAAGGAATGTCCCGTAAACAGTGTCATCATTGGCCCAAGTGGTGAGGGGGAGTCAATGTGTGGACCAGTGAGGATTGTATTGTCACGGAAGAGACATGAGCGTAGATGCGTGGGCTCACTGTGGGGGCTGATAGGCATGGCTAACGCGACGCACGTATGAAGAAGAAATATGAACTACGTGCCAGAGTGATTCTCATGTAAGCCTTAACCACCCACATGAGTGATTCTCGTGTGGTCTGAGAACGTCTCTAGTGTAACATCCGCAGCAAGGATATATTGGGACTGCGTAGTCAGAGTCAGTGTTAGTCAGAATCAGTCAGTCAGTATCTCTCGTGTCAGATCGTGAGTACACGAGTGAGAGTCAGACAGACAGAGCACCGTGCAGCCGTCAGACAGTGAGGTCTGAGTGATAGTCTCTGTCACGGTGTAGATCGAAGGTAGAGCTGGCGAAGTAAGGCCAAGGGGACTGGACCCTCCAATAGTAACTGTTCTGGGTGACGACTCAAAGGAGGCGTAGGATCATCAAGAAAACAGCGCAGTGGGGATGCCGACAAGAGCTGTGTGCTGGAGGGGACTTGTGCTAGAAGTCATGTCGGTCATCGCAGTCCTTCGACAGGCTGATGTGCTGTGGGCACATGCTGGAGAACGAGCAAGTGAAGTCTTGTTTCAATTCAGCGTTGTTGTCTGCTGAAGTAGAATCAAGGTCCAGTTGATAGGAGAGTTGTTCTTGTTTTTCTGTACAGCGCGCCCAGAGCTGCGGGACGCTGTAGACCTTACGACCTTGCTTTTTGTTTTGGCTGTCTAAGAAAGTATACAAATTATTAGGCTAAACCACATTTTTGAGGCTTAAAAAATGTTATGGATGGTTTAATAACTGTCCTAGATTTAGCACCATATGTTAAACAGGCTCCATATAGAATACGAGAACTATTTTTTCCAGCTTCCAGTGACATATATTTATTGCACAATATGTTCTTTATTTTACAAAATGACATTTTGAACTGTCCTATCTGCTCTTTACCTCCTTGTGTAGGAGGGGAGACAAAAATGATAAAAATTCGATTTTTTTTTTTTTCATAATGGTATTCCACTCTGAGACGTGGAAGCATACACCAATTTGGGCAGTAATGTAGACACAGGTGAAGCAACTGACAAGGATATCAAACTACGCATACAAAAAGCAAAAGGAGTTTTATTAGCACTATTAAATTTATGGAGGTCAAAAGAAATTAAACTAATACTAAACTGAAAATGTTTAATTTTTATGTCAAGTCACTGCTGTTGCATGGAGCTGAAATATAACAAACAAGTAAAGCGATTCTATATTAATAGAAATGTCAATTTTCCGTGTTTATTACCTATAATCTCTGAAAGTTCTTCACCGATTGCTTTCAAATTTTCACACAATGAAACTGCTCGTGTTTGTATATAAGGTGTTGCACAAACCACGAACGAGGTAGCTGCAGCAACCATCAAATCGTTATTTAATTTGTTGCCGGCCCGGATTTGTTTGTAGTTCCGCCTACCTTTCACTGTGTGTGTGTAACACTGAAGTTCACTTTATTATATAATTGTATTTCTACCAAATTCTCCAGTCTTTGGTGGCATAGTTGTAAGTATTCCGCCTGTCACACGCGTGACCTGTGTCCGATTTCCCGCTGGTTGATATAATTTATATTTGCACTTAACACTTAGCTGAATCGTTGTGTTGTGGTTTACAGCTTGGCTGGGATATCTGCGCTTTTTTTTTTTGGCTCGGTGTTGTGATTCACAGCTAGCCTGCGATAGCGGTGGCAAGATGCTCAATAGTCATGTCACGGCAAATCTTTCTTTTCGTTCGCCTTTGAGAGGGCGGTTGGCAAGCTGTGTTGTGGTTTAAAAGTAGGCTGCGATATCTGAACCAAATCGTGAGTCTTCGGTAGAATAGTTGTAAGTATTCCGCCCGTAATGCGGGTGACCGGTGTTCAATTCCCCGTCTGGTGCTGATTTTTTTTGGCCCTTAAAGGTTGTTGGCACCTTGTGTTGTAGTTTACAGCTAGACTGCGATATCTGTGCCTTTTGCTCCAACACATTCGATTTCAGTACAAGCTTCACTTGATCAAAAACTATTCGTTGATGACAGACACTGTTTACTAAGACAGCTCAAAGTCCATTTTAGTTTGGGTGGACACAGATGCCAAGGTAAATTAAAACTCGTCCATATCCAAGAGATAACGGGGGATTTTTGTTGTTGTTGTAGTGACAGTTTGTTGTTGTTGTTCTTATAAAGGTGGTGGTGGTAGTGGTGGCAGTAGTACTGGTACTTGATGTGGTAGCTGTTACACTGGCCACATTTTCATCTCAGTACAGAATAATGCTACCTATTTTAGTCTGGGTGCACACGGACGCCAAGCTAAATTTTATTACTATATTTCGTAAGGCGATGACTATCCAATCCTTCGGAGAGGAAGATATAATTGCGGTGGGAGGGTTGGGGGGTTGATGACAGACACTCTTAGCTGAGAGAGCTTAAAACTATTTTAAAGTTCTCCTTTCTCAAAAAAAAATATTTCAATACCGCTTCCTCGGCTATTCTTATTTTTTTTTTCGACTTTGTGGTTATTTAGAGATATAATAGTCAGTTTTACTTTCAGCTGTTTAAACACAAAAGATGCTTTAGCCTGCGATAAACAAATATTTCTTGTTTATTTTCACTCTTACAATCGACCACTAATATGACCACACACTTATATGTTGCATGCTCTAGAGTCGGCATACCAGACTATCTCTGTATCTGTGCAGTGACTGATATTAACCATATTTGACACGTGCTCTTTCTATTTTCTTTCTTTTCCTGTTCGGCAGACTCAGCCAAAGCAAAGCGTGGCTGGTACTGCTAGTTATTATTGAACTACAAACATTCATTAACTGGTGCATGTGCATAATAGAGGTAATTACATGATATGATAGAATCACTAATGCGGAGTTTTGGGAG